TATTACGACAAAAACAATTTTAAAATAATTCAACACACTATTAATGGCCATGAAGTTTTCTTCGCAAATTACAAATATATCAATAAAATTAATTAATTGGCTCTGATTTTCATGATTATAGACTATGTGATATACTAATAATGCGAATGCAAATGCAAGACTTTTGATAAATTGCTAATTATTAAAAAGATTAAACAGTTATTGCATTTAATAATTATTACCAGAGCAAAAGAGGTAGTCAAAATGCTACACGAGGAAATAACAACAAAGTTTGATAACAACAAAGCTGATTCAAAAACTTAGTTTCAAATATTATTCAAAATCCCCAAATTCATATTATTAAGGGTTGTAAAACAATTATGTAATGCAATGCTATCGGATAAGTTTTGCTCATACTCAGTTCCTTCGTAAAATTATTATGGACTTCAAGGGCTATTTTATTTTAAATTTTTTGTTAACAAATAGAATTGAATTAATTTATTACAATAGTTTACCTTTGAAACTGTTTTTTTTATACAGATAACTTTTATTTAATTACTGTAATAATCATCCAATAGTCCTTTAAATAGTTTTACATTAAATTAAATATTAAAAAAAGTGCTAGTAACTAAAATGAAACAAATGTTAATAAAATGACAATGTTTATTAAAACAACATATAACCAGGAGCAATTAGTAATATAAGCATTTAATAATGTGTTAATTACATTTACAATACTCGTTAAACATACTCAAAATTTATTTAAAAAAAGTAAAATGTAACAACGTAAATAGTAGTGCAGCACACGATTTTCTATTTACACTTACCATTAGAAAGCTGTTTATCCGATTTTTGTAAAGAACTTTGTAGTCTCCTAGGCGAATATCCCGAATCGAGACTTTGTACATTTTTGGAGGTGTTTTTTAATGAATTTCTCAAAGGGGGTGATCCACCAATTTGGTCGTCGAATATTAAGCTCCGAACAGAATGCGAATTCGATCTACTCCAAACAGGTTTTCCTCCGGCCCTAGAGGATTCACTATTACCACTATCGTCCATATTAATTATTTAGAACTTATTTCCATTTAGGCTATCTCTTCCAAAATTGATCGATAACAAAAACTTGCATGGACAAAACATAACACATCACAAATCCATCATAAATTATTACTTAACTACAAATATAGTAATGATTCTGTCCACAATGCTGGAGGTGCACACAGATATGTCATCACGCAAAAGCATGGACTAAATAACTTACATGGATTGCGCGTGCGATATTATTCAACATGTTGTCTTCTTGACATGTGACATTTTTTTTGTATTTAAAATTAAATTAATACTAGTCGTGTATGGCATTGTGCCTTAAGGTAAATTGCTGGAACTTACCGTACCTAAAATTACATTTTTTAAAAAAGATTAACTATGTTTTAAACTTTGAAAAAAAAATAGATTTTTGAGAAATTTTAAATTTTTGAAAAAAATGACATTTGGAAAAAATTATTTTTTTTAGTTCGAAATATTTTGGAAATTTTAAACTGTTTTTTCAAAGCAATCACACTGCTTTAGCTGCAAAGAGACGCAATATCGAAGCGCGTAAGCGCCGCGTCGCCGTCAAACGAACAAACGATGTTACGAAACCCATAGAAATGTAAACAAAATTGATACTCATTATTAAAATTTCTATAAAATATCTGATAATTTGATGTGCATATGTCTAATGATCATTTTTGACCTCAAAATGGCTTATTTTTTCAACTTTTTTTTACTAGATCTCCGAACCCGCTAGACCTGCCTTCCCAAAAATTTAATCAATTTTTCACCTTGTCAATACAAGTAAATGTTTTTTGAATTATTAAAATCGGATGCTCCGGTCTCTTAAAAACTGTCATTTTCATCACTTTTTGCGCTATATCTCCCAAACGACTTGAATTGTCTTTGCCAAAACCAAATCAACGTGTCTCCCTATCAGCAGAAATCGAATGTCTTTTTAATAAATCTGATCGGACATCCGTTTTCGCAAAAACCAAATTCCCATTATCTGCACTTTTTGCTTCGTATCTTCGAAACGGCTGAACCAGTTTTGCCAAAAACTAACCAGCACGTCTTCCTATCAATAGCAATCGAATGTTTTTTGAATAATTCAAATCGCCTGATAGTCCATAGTTATTATAGTAAGTTCACTTCGGAATTCGAGATACCCAGCTGTAAGTCTGTAAATACTTGTATATTGACATCTAAAAGTTGTCTCAAAACCTACATATGGTAGGGTGTACGCAACATAAGGAGATTCTTATTTAATTTAAGCTTAAATGACTGGACTATGATCCGTGCACCCGAAATCGTGGACAAAAAATTGTAAGCACACAGACACACACACATATATTTATCCACTGTTCCTAAGGTATGCCAAAATGTTCAGAAATCTTTGAAACGTTAAGATATACAAAAAAATTCAGCTTTAATTTTTAGACGATTTTCATAACTTACTCTACGGGAAGTTAAAAAGTTATCACCTTTTATAAATGCGTGAGTTAAAACTAATATTAAATATTTACTAATGAATATTTTTTACAATCCTAACGACAAAAATAATATGTCATGTATTATATAAATAATATGCAAATATCTGAATGTATTGTTTACAAACTTATTAAATATCCTCCTAATTTAGTAAGTCTACAACATTTGAGGCTTGCATGTTTACATTTAAATGATGCCATCTATTGTCACGTAGAGCTTAAGATACATAACATAGCAATTACTCGAACCTTGCGTAAAATCTGCATCATCGATAACAGATATATATTTGCAAGCTGTAATCCATAGATAAATAAGCACAAATAAGATAAATAAGATGTAATCCATCTGTAATCTATTACTCTAAGCGAATCTGATGTAGGTATATTGATTTTATATAAAATAATGTTGTATTATACACGTATATTTTATTATCATATTTTAAAATGAACAGCCAATTCATTGCTAAATAGAAGCCAATTCGTGACAAGTAAATCTTCATACAGCGTAGAAAACTCCGAAAATTTTAAAACATAGAATTAAAAATACGCTAAAATTGGTTATGGCATAAAATTTTGGTTGAAACGACCAGTTGAAAATGACTAAATGTGAAGATTTAAATGTAAAGACGAAGTGGTTACAGTAAATATATTAACTTTTAATGTTCATTATTTCATAATATATATTTTTTTATATTACATATAAGATATATTTATCACTTGTGCATTTTTTATATCATACATAAACATACATAAATCACTAGAAGAACAATATAGACATCATAAACAAAAATAAAAACTAGTGGTGTACGGCATCGTGTCTTAAGGCGTTTTTCTGGAACGCCGAAGAATATTAAATGTTTTTAAATATATTATTATAATTACTGTAACTTTCAATATTACTTCAATCCGTGCGCCCGAAATCGGGAACGAAAAATTGTAAACACACATACAGTAGAACCTCGATTATCCGGACTAATTGTTGTCGATAGGCATCCGGATAATCGAAAATCCGGATAATCCAAATTATGAAGAATAATATTTTGTTTATCAAAAATAACAAATGCATACATAGATGTCAACAAAAATCGATGATTATTGGAAAATTAACACTTACATATTTTCTTAGATTACATTATACATATTATATTAACATGAGCTAAAATATTCAGGCGGTACGTAAAGTATCAATGAAGAAGAAAAGTTGCTTACAAATAATTTGTTGATCGTTTTTGTAAAAACCAACAATATAGAGCTTCTTCTAAGAGTTCATTTTTCGGTCTCTTCACAATTTTCCGATTTTCACTACCCTCTTTACTATCTAACTTGCAAGTGTACGACAAAATTGAAGCGGCATTCTTTTTAATATCGCTTATAGTGGATGTATCTACACTACACCATACGTATCAGCTAACTTACGGCCGGTTTCGCCTTTTTTAATGATTCTATAATATTTATTTTATCTTTAAGGGATAACACCACTCTTTAAAAATGTTATATATGCACGTCAAAACAGAGAATGTATTAATGTATATATGCACATCAGAATATGCAAGTTCCGACGCGATTATGTCCGGATAATCGCGAATTCGTATAACCGAGGTCCGGATAAGCGAGGTTCATTTGGTTTCACATCCATTTTTTCTAAGGAATGCCAAAATGTTCAGAAACCCTGAAACGTGAAGATAAGCAAATGATTTGAAGATTTCGATTTTTAGACGTTTACTATAACTTACTTTTCCGGTAAGAAACTATTAACCTCTCGAAGAAGTTAGTTTTCGCGAAAAAACCGATTTGCTAATTTTATTCTGAATCGATTGAGACCAAATTTGAAAAAAAGTATGTGTGTGTATGTGAGCCGTTTTTAGACCTTTTGTCATCGTTTTCTCAAAAAACAGCTGGGCCCATTTTAAAAATTTAATTGTAAATATTTGAATATGTAACAATTTCGACGTAAATCGATAAGGACTCAGTTTTGCGCGACGATCGGCCAAGACGTTTTCTTGTAATTAGCAGGAAAGTGTAAAATTATTTGTTCACGTTTTAGTCTACAATCTTGAACCTATTTTAAAAATTCAAAAACAATTCTATAAACTATATTATTTGAGAATCGAATTAATAAGTTTTTGGTAAAGATCGGCCGGACCGTTTATTCGTGATCAATTATGAAAATTTTTGATTAAACTTTGCATGACGATAAATTTTATGATCTAACACACTAAACTGTTATAGGCCTACGATAACCGGTTGAATTATAAAAACACATCTAAGTTTGGACTTGCGCCCCTCGCTTAACCGTTTCTAATCAGTATCTATGCCTTTTCCGTGTTTTGTAGGTAGCTGCTGATTACAGTTGATCTATTGAATTTATTTTATCGTTCTTAGGGTTAGGATTACTATGAACAAATAAATGTGCTTATAGCTTGAAATAAATATATTTAGTCCACTTGTCATTACATAAAAATAAAATAATTTTTATATAAACAACAGGCATTACACATATCATTTGCCAACATCGTTCATATTTTTCGGTAATCCAAGCAGTGAATTAATCAATTCTGAATTTCTCTTCGGGAATGTTATGAATCCTTCTGCTCTACATGGTCTTGTCCTGTCAACCATTTGAGGAAGGTCCCTTGCCGTCAGAGTATTCAACCAGTCGGACATCTCTTGGGCATACTGCAGAAATATTTATACTTAATACATTAGGCTTAAATCATTATTTGTATTGTAATAATACAAAAACAAACTCACACACATACTTATATTGGGGGTTTCCGTGGGGTAAGAGATAAGCAAAAGTTTTTGTCGGTTTTATGATTAATAAGTCTGACATCTAGGCATGCATAAAGTTATAGTAATCGTCCAAAAATTGAAAATGAAATTTTTTGCCTATCTTTACGTTTGAATTTTGGCATACCTTAGGAAAAATGGATGTATGTGTGTATGTATGTATGTGAGGATAAAATTTTTCGTCGACATTTATGGAAGCATTGCTCAACCGATTTGATTTATTCAAAAATCATTGAATTCCTAATAAGATCAATAGATAAGGAGACGTACTGATTGGTTTTTGGTAAAGTTGGTACAGCCGTTTCGGAGATACGAATCGAAGAGTGCAGAAAATAACAATTATGTTTGTGAGAAAATAGCATTCGATATGAATGATTAAAAAAACATTCCAATTGTATTGACGTAATGAAGAATTGATTCAATTTTGCGAAGACAAGTCCAAAATAAAAAAGTGAAAAAAAATTCCATGTTGCGGTGGATATCAGATATTTTTGACAGTCTGAATCAATGGACATGAATAGGTATCAACAACTATCAAGAAATTTCAAAATGTTCAAAATCGTTAAAAAAGTCTAATTTTTCATATCTGAGCTTTTAAAAATTTTATATTACGGTATGGGACGTTTCAGAAATTTTCCTTAAGGCACAATGCCATGCACTACTAATTTTTTTCTAATCTCGTTAAGACGGTTATGCTTAATACGATTTTTCTCGTAATATGCTATATTACGCAGGTCCCTGCACTTTGAAATATTTTATTCTATACTAGCTGACCCGGCAAATGTTGTTTTGCTAAATAAGGCATATTCTAACCCATTTCTAGAGAATCAAAAATATTAATACTTTAAGGATGTGTTGTTTGAATGCTGTATACAATTAGGTATTATAAAAACAATAAACCCCATTAGTTTGTCTATATTTTGTCAATACAATCAAACTGCAAGTTTTATATACTTTTTATAGAAAACACGTTATAATCCAATCCGAGTCTTTTTTGGTCTTTCGGCTTATTAATTACGTTTCAAGTTTTTCAGATTCTTTTTAGATTCTGGATTTTGTGTATAATTGTAAATAATACTACTGAGCTTATACAAAATTTTCAAATTTTTGCGAGGAGAGATAAAAAATGAATTAAGTATTTCTTCTTTGACCTGCTTTTTGGAAAGTTTCAAGTTACATTCGATTAATTAAAGTAAATTTAATAAAAAGTATATATGTAGAACAGGGCGAGACACAAAGGTCCAATTTGACTTTGAGCAAATATAAACTATATTGTGAAAACCCTAACAATTATATCACAACAAATAACACATATCAAACGAACAATTATCTGACTACGTTCAGCAAACTGACTTCTACTTCATCATTGTAAAAATGCGCTTTTTTATGTCGTTCAAAAATTTGTTATCTAGACCTTTTTATCCTATATGCAGGGTAACTTGTAACGGCAGGTGGCAAAAGGTTTAAAGCCTTATTATAATTTTAAAGGTATTTTACAAAATAATTACATTTTTAACTAATGCTAAAACTACCAACGGAAGAAAATACTTTTATTATGGATTTTCAAAGATTACCGTTTATCTCCCCCATTTCAAAGATCATCGTTTTCAAATCAAGGTTGTAGCTGGCTATACATCTTTTTTCCTCTACTTTCAAATATTGTTGTTAAACAATGCTTAACTTTACTGATTTTTGGCACATCGGTGGTGGACCTTTTTAATCCCGGACTTTAATATATTACTATCTATTCTGCGATAAATTCTGGGAAATTATAAGTGGAAAAATGTTATTCGACAAAATGTCCATTTGATCGATACCAAATTTAGCTTCTGAATTTAAATAACATAAATAAAAAATAATATAACCTAGAAAATGTTTTATAAATACCAATGAGTATATAATTATACAAATGAGATCTTTCACAGCACCGTGTTTGAGAAAAATATGCCAAAAAGTGCATTTTCATATTAGCATTTCAAAAAAGTTGATATTTTGAGTCTCTAGTAACACTTGCTGCCCGTTTACTAACGTTTTTGTATATAAATAAAACTACAAACAAAACTACTTACTACAAATTTATCATAATTAAATAATATTCGCGTAAAACATCATGTTAAACGTAATTGAACATCATCTGTCAAAAGCGTTTGACATTTCACGAAATTGCCACCGTCAATTGTTTCATTTAAATTACGCTTCAACAAAAATTTTCAAATTAAAAATGTAAAGTTTCTACGCGGATTTGAAATAATTTCTCACCTTTTGGACTTTCTCTGGATTGGCATGAATTTTTCAAGACTAAGACTGGCCAAATCGATTCAGCCGTTTTCGAGTTTTATTCGGACATTTGAAAGAGAGCTCCATTTTTATATATAAGAATAAATACCGCATAAAATACTGTCTCGCTTAAAATGCGTGTTTGATTCGGCGTTCAAAAAATCTGCACCGCGTCTTAAAAAGTTTTTAATGTATATTTATAAAACTGGCTTCACAGTACGAAATAAAATTGCGGAGCCTGTATCAATTGAAATTGAAATTTAGCAACTAGTCACAAAAGAAGTTTGAAATTATTGTTAATTAAACCTCATTTCAATAAAATTCAAATTTATGCAGATTCATAATAGATCTCGATTTCGTAGATCCATAATAAAATGTTCCATCAAAATCCGACAAATTAACGCGAGTCCTTATCTATATCGATGGTATTTAAAGATTATAAATCCTTTAAGTCATCTTTGGGAAAATGTCGACGAAAGAATACATTTCGGCTCATATACATAAAAATACTTTTCCTAATTTTGGTCTCAAATAATTCGGAATGACTTGAAACGCCAAGAAAACATATAATAATACAGTTATCAAGATAGATTTTTTGGCGAAAAAAAACTTTTCCTTCGGGAAGATAATAATATTGGTAGTTAAATATATTTTGCAAATTTGATTATATAATAATACCATCACAAAGCCAATTATGGATCCACAAAATGGACAAACTGTATTTGGCTCGAATTTTTTACATCATACCCAAACTGTATAATTATTATATATTGAAAGTCAATATATAGTCAACAAAAAATCATAACAAATTTTACCCTTTTACTATGAAAAGGTAAAAATTATGTCCACACTAAAAATAATTAACCGAAGGATATTGAGATTTATTAACTATAAACCAGTAGGAGGTCTATAAAGTCAGTAGGAGGTTTTTATACAATTCAACTATCTGCAAATACTTGGTGAACCTTTGGTGAATTAAGTGGAAATTAAAAATATATTTCTTAACAGTCTAATATAGTTCTCAACCAAAAACAAATTATTAAATATTAATCCTTTTCGCATAACTTACGAGAAGGATTTATTTACCAAAAGCAAATATATTTTCAAAAATTATTTTAAAATAAGATCATGATTCACAATTTATGATCCGACCTCGCCGTTTTATTAAGTTAACTTTGCAAGACGTGTGTTTAAATTTATTACATTTAATAGGTACAAGTCGTAAAAACAAATATATCCTTAGTAATTTAAAGCATTAATTTTTATAGTTTGTATATTCGCCAGGCTCTGATCCTTTTTCTGACGGTTAGACTAAAAAAAAATCACCATAAGCAATTGAATGTATATACACATGATATACATATATATATATATATATATATATATATATATATATATATATATTATTTTAATAATATGATCTTTTTCCAAATTGAAAAATTTATTTTTCTTTTATAATGTTTTCATAGTAATCTACGTTTTGAGGATGCGAGATGACTCCGTGTTCAGAAACTGTTGAAACTGTTTAATTTGGTACTTATTTTAATTATTAAAATCATTTATTTCCTTGTTAGACAGATCAATCTTAAATTTTCAGATCACCAAAAATAACAAACATATCAAAATGAGCAATGACATAATGTTTTAGATGCTTGTGTCTCTGAGAATATAAAACTATTATTAATAATGATATTGATAGATATCAAGATAAATAATTTTACAACAGTATCTGAAAAAAGGGGCACGTTGAATAACCGAAACATCGAAAAGAATATACTCGTATATTTAATATCTACGTATTAAAAATTATAGAATGGAACGAAGGTTTTTTAAATAAAAATAAATCAATGTATATTAATATTTTTTAAATTTTCTATGAATTGGAAGCTATTACTGTTAATATTATTTATTTAATTTATATGAAAATTGTGGTGTGAAAAGTGTGTTTTTTTGCTATATATCAAATAATTGCCAAAAGACCTAAATGTAAAAGAAAAAAACAGCTAATGTCTAAAATTGAATAATATAATATGCATAATTGTAATTGAAATCATCGATTGGTATTGTCATGAATGTAAAAAAAAAATTAATATATTATTTGAAATTCTGTGTATATTTATTTATTTATATATCTATAAGTTTTTATTAATCAATTTATTTACTTTCTGTTATTTTTAATTAAGGTAACAGAGACTGCAATTATTCATACAATCGAATATCTGAAGTTTGGATTGCTCGACAAAGTAGTTCAAAATAATAGCAATAAATTTGTTTTTATAAAAACTCAGTACTACATAGTCAAACTATATATAAATTTTGAAAATTATCAATTTTCTTCCAATTATTTTCACCAATTAGATACTTATAGTTTATAAAACGATCCACACAAATGTATATTCCAAATAATATCCGGCAAGGCTGCATATGATCTACACTTGCCGTTAAGTAAATATCTAAACCAAAACTTGATATTTTATTTTCTAAGTAGATCACTGAACTTCTAAAACAACCATCACTACAAAGTTGAAACCAGATCACAACATTTATGCATTTACCAACCTCCTGGTCATTCTCAGGTGCGGGCATTGCTGATATAGTTTGGATCAAAACGGCGGCCAATATTAAAAAGGCAAAGCACATCGAGGGCTTCATTTTATCTTCAATTGTTCGTTGAGATATTTAATCACAATTTTTTATGTTATACGAAATATACTGAACACTGCAGCTGAGTCTCTGGCGTTACTGATGGACTGATTTTGAAAGCAGGTATTTTTATATAAACCTGACAATTTATTACATAAATGTATATGTATATATTGGAAACATTCAATCCACCCCTTGCGGTCTCATTTTATTGGACTCTATAGACATGCGCTGATGTTCAAAATTCAGCATCCGACAACAGGTGTTTTCAACCTAAATACTAATATCCTGGTATGTACTAAGTGATTAGATTATAAATTAATTAAGATAAATTATCAATTATATCATGGAATATTATCAAATGAAATAACCATTGTTTATTGCAATTTATAAACCCTTGTTAAATATGAACCAAAATAGTGCATATCATTTGAAGCGTTTTTATTATGTGAAAAGAATTGATCGTAAAATGTAAATAAAGCAAAATGCACAATTAATCAAGAGTTTTAAAAATTTAAAAGTAAAGAAAATTTATTTCTTGAAGTTTACTTCAAGTAGTGTAGAATTATTATTACTCTTCTATATCTCATCAATTTTCAAACTTACTGAATGACTACCACTGGATAGCATTTTAAAATCTTGTATCTATACATTTGTCATCAAAATTACTGACTGCCGTACCAGGCAAATTGTAATTATAGGCAAATATTAAAAAAAAAAACATTTCAAGTAGTATGGTAGAGCGGGGCTTCAAGGTACGCGGGCAAAAAGATCTACCATGATTATCTCAAAAACAAGCAAAAATTTTTTAGTGATACTATTTTGAAGTAGAAGGTAAAAGATGTGTAAACAGCCATCATCTTAATTCTTACGATGTAGCTACCAGGAGATAAACAGAAATGTATCAATACTTATACCAAAAGTATTTTATTCGTTGGTAGGTTTTTTGAGCTCTTATATTTAGTTTAAGAAACCTGGCTATAATTTTAGCAATACGTTTGTTAATTGTTTTATAAGATGTTTTGTTATTTCTAAGTTAAATCTAACAATTTTTTTATGTAATCTCTATAAAAGCTTACATTTGACTGGGGCAAAAAGGATCAACTCATCCTCTACGTAGGCAAAGAAGTACACAATAAGAAATTGTAAATAAAAACGTAAATTAAGTTAAAAAAACAATTATAAGAGTTAAATAAGATTAATAGTTATTTGACCTCTGCTGATGAATATTTATTTAGAAATAGCAGATCATGGCTATATACAATGAAATTTTTGTAAAAAATATTCTCAAAATTTGTATTTCATATTGGTTAAATAATATTACTATTATTTTATAAAATCTCTTTAAAATGAAAAAAGAGCATAGGATATGTTTACCCCTTGGCTATTCTTTTTTACCCTGCCTATGGGGCAAAAAGAACAGATATCCAATTTTAGAATAATAAAAAAACAAATTTTTATAATTAGAAATTAACTGAGACTTTTACTGAACATAGTTCAGTAGTTGTTTATTTGATATATGTTATGTCTTCTTATGTAGTTTATTTAGTTTAGACAGTATAACTATTGGAAGTCAAATTAGATCTTTGTGCCCCGCCCTATCCCTATATAGAGAATATCAGAGATTCTTATATCAAGTTATGGTACCATAGAAACATTCAGTCTTAACATTCACTACTTCTAAAATTGTGATTGTAATGCCAAGCATTTTCATACTTTTAGCAAAGAAAAAAAATACGAGACACTATTTTATAATTATATGATGCAGACATTTTTCATACTAATTTTGTCAGAATCAACTAGCCATATGAATCGTAGTTCTGTATAATTGGGCAACGTACCAGCTTTAAAAATATAATAAAGTCATTTCTAATTAAAAAAAATAAAAACAGCACATAAATTGTTAAAGATGTCATATCTTCTACAAAGTATTGTAGAAAACAGATAAAATTCGAGAATTTACTGAAGCATTAGAATTTACTCAACTTTTATGTTTAATTAGAAAAAGCAAGCCACTTTCGTTACAGAATTAAATATATTTTAGACTATAATTTTATTGATTGAACTGTTTGCATTATTTAATTGCTCTTCTACCAAATTGCTCAATATCAGTAATTAAAAGAGTATTTTTGAAAAGATTTTTACTTTACCACTTCTAAGTAAATCCATAAACACACTATTAGTTGTATTATTCATGAGGTCACATTTAATCATATTAAATTTATGAATTATCCAAATTGGCCAATAAAATGAGGCCCAAATGGGCAAAATAGGTATCTTTTAGATATTTAAGTACTATAACAATAACGATTTAAAATCAATTTATAAAGACCATAATATAATTATTTCATTTTTGGATTTAAAGATTAGCTTACGATTTAGCCAAGTCATCGGAAAATCAGATGCATTATCAATAGTATCGAAGAGTGTGAACCAACCAAAATAAGATATGTATATGTTAATCTGAGTGATATCGTAATTGATCTGTTATTAAGGACAGCGATCTGAATCCTCCTAAACCTGAAGGTTTAAAAAAAATATACTAAAAATATACAGCTCAATTTTTCAAAAAGCGCCGTATACGATGACTAAAAGAAGCCTAGAAAAGGACTTGAACAGAACAACTTGCTGATAAGGAAAAACACAGTTTATTTGAGGTTGGTGCACTGCACACTACATTATAGAATAAAATTTTTGATGAATTGATTATATATATATAGAGAATGGCAAAAAAAGTTGAAAAGATGTACAACCTCATTGATTTGCGATTGGAGAAAATAGTTGTGATAATAATAATAATAATTCTTAAAATGCATTGGAGATTTATTGGTTCGATAGCTCTGCTGCTATATGTTTTATCAGTTCATGTAATTTAATAACACGGATTGAAAAAGATGCAACATAGAAAAGATTATGAATTTGATATATGGAATATTTTACACATATCTTCTGTCTTTTCTTATTAATATCACTTGTTCTGACACATGTCGCTTCAGGCAATGTAACAGTTCCATCGTATATTCATTATAGAGTAAAATTTTTATTGAGTCAACTAAAGCTATAAAATGAAATAATTGTTTGACTATGTGGCTTTGAAAAAGAATCAAGGATAATGCAAAAAGCATTAATTGCAACAAATTAAAATTTAACGATTTTGGTAACAAAAGTCCATAATCCAAAAAGAGTTATTTTCTTTAGAGATTCTCGTTGATTATTTTTGTGCAGAAATTGTTTGAGTCGTTTCATATTTTAGGCAATATTACTATTTCAAGGCAACGTCTTATATTTTCAAACATACTGCTAATAATTAATATTTATGTAACAAAATTAATCGTTAAATGTACACAAAATTTAAATATAAGGTTCCTTATATAGAGCATTATATAGATAGCTTATATATTATATATTGTAGCATTTGTATTTTTGAAACGCCTCAAAAACAAAACGAGGTTTTCCACATCTGTAAGATATTCTTTAATATATTTCATAAATATTTTAATGATATTAAAAATGAATATGCCGTATAATTTTTTTTAATTAAAATAGTTTCATTACATAATATTCTATCTCATTCTGGGATCTGAGATCTGATGCCACTACATATAGAGGTTAAAAACTCAAAACAAACGCAAAGGAAAAACCAGTAAGTTCAAAAAAAAAAAAATAATAAAAAATTAAATTAAGTAATAAGTTCGGAAAACTTAAAAGTGAAACGAAAAATGAAATTTTTGTACATTATATGAAGTATTATGATTTATCGATGACCAAAATAACTAGTGGTGGATGGCATCGTGCCTTAATTTTTAAAAACCTTTAAAATTTTTTGGAAACTTGAAAAAAATGATATTTTTGAGAATATTGAAATTTCTGAAAAAAATTGGCTTGTTTGAAAAAAATTTTTTTTTATACTTTGAATTTTTCTGAAACCGCTAGACCTGTCTTTTCAAAAATTTAAACGGTACTTTACTTTGTCAATTAAATAAAATGTTTTTTGAATTATTCAAGTCTGACGCTCCGTTCTCTCAAAAACTGAATTACCATTTTTTGCTCTTCTTGCCAAAAGCTAATCAGCACGTCTCCTTATCAATAAGATTCGAATGTTTTAAAATGCAATAAGATTTGAATTATTCAAATCGAATAAATTGGAAAATTTTTATCCGCACACATACACATACCCACACATCATATGAAAATTTTCATTTTCGATTTTTTCGCGATTACTATAACTTACCTGACGGAAAGTTAATAAGGAAGAACACATAATATATTATAAAAAGTATATCTAATTACAAACAATAAAAATGTGAATAAAATAATATGCTATCCGAACCAATGTTTGACGCCTATCTTTATCTGTGCCTGAGTCAATTCGATAAATTCAGTATTGACATTGTATTTTCATTGTTTGACAAGATTGCTTTAATTTGTAAGCAACTATTACTCAGGCAAAAGTACGCAGAATCCATATTACATTTTACTCTTGATTATTTGCAGACGTAAAATATTTGATTTTATGTATACAAACAGTGAAATCGGCATAAATGAAACACGGTTGTTTATACATTAGACAAAATTAAGCGAACTGATATTTGATATTTTAAATTATGCATTTGGTACATTTTACTTCCGACATAATTATCAACTGATGCTTTTTCTTGTAATTATTCGAAGAAATACTATCTAGAAATATGTTTTTAAATGGTATTAAATTTACCTCGTTGTAAGTGGCAAAAACCTCAAAGTAAGTTGCAGAAACGTGTAAACATTCGGCTTCATTAACAAATATTAAAATTTAGCAAATTTTAAAATTATAACAAAATGTTTTGAAATTTTGAAACGTTTCATTACCACAAACATTGGTAATTTTTATAACGTTTAAATGTTTCGTAAGCCTATTATATTTTTGGATGTGTTCATTATGACTACGAACTTCCTCATTACCAAAAAAATTCAGTTTCATCAAAATAGTTAAAAAAAATTCATAATTAATTACGAAGAATCGTCCTAGC